CAAAATATTATTTGTGAGGTACAGTTGTTTTATGTTGAACCGTTTAGAACTATTAGAGCAGATTCTGCCCGATAATTTTGAAGCACCATATTATCGGGATTGTCTTTTTCGTGACACCACGTTTCTAATCGCGACCCTAAATCATAAGTACCTGGTCCGAAAACGGCTACATGCATTGAAAGTATTTCAGAACTAAAAGGCATTAAAGATTTCACAGCACTACTTTTACCTATCCATCTGAAATATTTAGATGGGTACTGGTAATAAAAATTTGGTCTAAACGATAGAGGAGGAGAATCACTGTAATAAAAAAGAATACTTTAGTATTTATTTAAATACCGGATTCACTATTCAAAACTTGCCTACTACTTCCCAAAGTGTTTACAGTAACTACCATTTCTGCATCCACGACGTTATGAAGAACAATTTGAACAGGAATTGTACAAAACTTCTTATTTTTAAAATCGTGCCGGATAGAGATGGGATGCAATAAACTTAAGAATACTTGATTCTTTTTTGTTTCTACTGAAACATTACTCTTAGTTATTGATACTGTTAAATCTAATGTTTGATTAACTTCATAAGATAATGACGTTTCAATATCGCATTCATCTTTAAACGATAAAGGTGTCGTTGTCTGTCCGATGATATTCTTTTTTTGACCAGAACTATCAGATACTGAAGCCTTCCACTGTAACACTAATTGGTTTGGAGAATGTATCTTCCGACCCGCGTCTTGACTAACAAACTCATCCAAAAAGGACACATGCTGTTCAAAATTTTTAATAGCTAAATCTAAACAAACACTATTCGAAAGTAAGGGTCTAAATGTTTCGGGATCAAGGATTATTTCAGAATAAATTTCTTCTCTTTTGCTGTTTCTTCTAGCTTTTAGTAACAAATGAATTGATTGTTCTGATGTAATTCTTAATGTTTTTGGTAGTTCTAAATCTTTTAAAAGAAGCCAATCAGAACTTAAAAGTAATACTTTTACAAGTGATACGTTAATTATTTTAAGATCATGAAACTTATTTAAATTAGTAATTTTTGCTGAAAGCGACAACTGTTCCACAGACTTTGAACTAAAACTTCCTTGACATAGCACCTTTGCCGAAAGCGTTTCTTGTGTATTTAACATCCAAGTATGTCGTACCAGTCTGTATCTACAAAATACATATAAAAATATTCCTTACTATACAAAAAAAATGATGGTCATACTTTGGCATATTTGAATTACTTAAATTTTCATAGTAAATTAGTATATCGATGTTTATGGTTCCTTTTTCGCTCGGAGCTTTTATCCATATATTAAACGATTTAGATTGTCCAGGATCCAATTTATCTCCTTGCAATGGTAGTTGAGTAACACAAAGTCTCCTTAATTCCTTTTCTCTGGCTGCCGGCGTTTTTAAATCACTTTCACGATTACTCCATGGTTTATTATTAAACTCAGAAATTGAAATTAATTGAGGAGTAGATGTGGCCATATAAATTTTATCTATAGAACTATTTCCGACATTTTTAATTTCCATTGGAATTTTTTGAAGCTCATCGCACAACATTTCAGTGTTAATTTCAAGAAAACTGACTTGTAAACAAGGTGCAGACGGTACAATTCGTATTTTGATTTCTTTTTCAAATTTTTGTTCATCGTTTCCTTTTTTATTTAAGCTTCTATCTTTCATAATAATTCGTTGCTCACCTAGCAACGTAATTCCTTCCTCAGGAACTAAAGAGTTACATAAACTAAATGCTACCCCTTTAAAAACGATTTTACCTACAGAAAAAGGTATAACAGATAGAATAAGGTCTTCACTACTCTTCATTTGTAATGTGCAGGCCTTTATAACAAAAGTCTTAACAAAATTATCTGGATTTGTACTGGGATTGCTATTTGTTATTTCTGTATCATCATCACCATAAAAAATCCAATGCAAGTGAATGTCTTTAAGATACAAAACTATATCTAAAAGGTTTGTTAATTTTATTGATATCTGAATAGGTTCTCCCATTATTGCAACCGCTTCTACGCTACCGATATTACTCTTAGTATACAAAGTAACAAGCGGCTTAAAAAGCAAAGGCAAAGAACCTCTAGCTTCTTGGACCACCATCTCCTCTAACTTAGTCCATTTTTGACTGGTCTCTTGATCATAACAACTAGAAAATGTAATTCCTAAAGCAGGGGTCCTGCCTGGAATTGATAAAGGAGGCGCTGGACCCACTAAAATTTTAATATTATCACAGTCTAGTAATGGTAAAGGAAGATCCTCTGCTCTATTCTTATTTTCTTTTTTCAGAAGAGACTACAAATTCAATGCAAATATTAAATCAACAAACAAACAAAATAATTACGTATCTTACATTTCTAATGACTAAAAATTCCCTTAAAAAAATTGCTTGCTGTTGTGGACTTTGTTTACTTTCAATATTTAATAGTGAAAATACCTCTGAAGCTTCCTCTAATAAATTTAAAGCAGTGGCAAGTTTACCAATGGTTAAATAGATATGATCTTCAGCTAAATTCCAACCCCTTTTCTTAAAAACTTGTAGTGCCTGATTATAACACCTCAGAGCATGTTTTTTTTGAAGTGCTTTTGAAAATCTGTGACCAGAAAGCACCATGTGGAATGCATATTTACGAACTAGTTTGGGAACAGCATTCAAGAAGCAGTAAGCAGCTTGCTCTAATAATAGAGCAGAGCGAAGGTCTGAATCTTCACTTGTCATTCTAATTAACTGATGGGCAGCTTCTCCATACAAATTGTGACCCTTGAGACATTCAAATATAAGAAGAGTAGCTCTAGTTGCAAACTGTGGCATTCTGGAATATATATATTCTAAAATAAAACCCTCCACATTTACAACAAAAAAATGAATTATTCTGCATTAAATTTATTAATTTGACACAATTTTAAAATATATGCTTACTTGCAAGTATCTAGATATGTTCTTATACTTTCCTCCATGTCTCTAAAAACCTTTCTTGGTGGCTCAGATGCTAAAAATGCTGACAAAATGTACATCTCCACAGCTCCAGCATAATATAATAATGCTCCATCACGTAAAAAATCATTTCTAGAATAACTATATGCTTGCATTGCTCCAGAATAATTTCCAAACATAAAACACAGATCACCCAGTTTTCTCATTAATAATTCAGGTGAATCAGGTTTATAACTACAATACAACAAATTGTACAAAATTTTAAAGGAATACATATACCCACATAAACACATCAGTGGCAGTGTTACTTTTGCTGGGTTTTGTGGATTTAAACCATTTTCGTGGATCACTCAAGAATGTACTACTGGTTAAGCTTTTGTTAACAAAGACCTGCTGCAATTGATTAATTTTTCTCTCAACATAAGGCACCAATGCTCTAGTGCAAAATTCATGGATTAATAACTTAATTTGTTCAACATCTTCAGGTGACAAACAACAACCATGAACAATAGTACTGTCCTGCTCATCAGATGTATTACCATCACTCTAAGAAAAATAACACTGACCATTAAAAAAAACTAATTTTAAAACATACCACTGTCTTATCATCTGTATCAGGACTAAGTGGATGATAAGGAAGCCTATTTTCAATCTTATCAGATTCCTGTAATGATTCCTTTACATGTGTTATAACTGAACTGTCTACCACATTGTTTTTTACAGGATATTTAATCTTAGAAGTTAAAAATTGACTCCATGGATCTGGCAGTTGTTCATTTATTTGACCTGGCGGTCTTGAATTCATGCGCAATAAGAAACAATTACTCACACCATAAGTTTCCTTTAAATATTCCAATTCTTTACTAACACTGAAATTGCCAAATTAATTTTCAATGATCTAAGTAAAGTACATACATACTTTGCACTGTCACCATCAAAATTATCATGAATAATAACATAATATTTCAAAACTTCTTGAAAAAACCACTTAGGAATATATTTAGGTTTTTCATTCTGATTAACTTTTAACAGTTGATTGAGTTCATTAATGGTGTCATTAAGATTATCTGAGGATGACATTATAAAGAAACATGACAAATAATGCTTCGTAAATTCGTGATCAGATGGGTATTGCATTTGTAAAAATGTATCTCTCCATTCTTCAAACCATGGAGCTGTATTCGGTACATTTAGGACATACTCATTAATACGAATTTGATGGGATCTTGGTTCAGATGCATGACTAACGGAAGCATTAAGAAGTTTTCTTGCTAATGTTTGATTAATTGGTTGAAAATTAACATCCTGTACAGTTATCTCCAAGTTATGCACTGTAACTATTTGTCCAGAAAAATCTTTGTAAAACACTGAAAGAAAAAGCTATATTTATGTTTTATATATATATAAATTTTAATTTGTACCATCACTACCCAGCCTACAGAAGGGTTGAATCATCTCTGTGAATGAAAGATTATTTTTCCTACATATCTGAGCAGCAGCTGAACTGCATAATGCTCCTACCTGCGGTTTAAAAGCATTTTTAATATATTCTTGTGGTGTATGTTTACTTTGTGCCATTTTCAAAATTGTGTTTTAAATTAAATCATTTTTGCTATGATGAGATAAATTTTGTTAACCTTTACGATCACCCATTTTAACGAACTGATACAAACTACTGCTGTCACCTGTCAAATGTGAATTTGCTGGTTGTATTAACTATACTCGTAAGGTTAATGTAAACCTACAAGTCATAAACATTTATTATAATGAAATAAATAATTATAGTCGAAATACATATAAAATGAAATACTATTAATTCTATCAAATATCTAATTTATTATTTTATTTCGGTGTTTACTCCAGTCATATAATAATTGCGAATCATTATTAGATCAGTTCAATAGATTTAATAAACACCACGTCTTTTTATCGTTATAATTTAAATTAAGGTTAGATCTGAGATTGAGGAGCTTTAAATACTTACAATGAGGAAATATACTTTAATTTTTTCATAATTTTTTTGAATTATGAATAACTGCATTTGAAATTTAANATGGGAACCCTGTATTTTAAATAAAATTCAAGTTTCCATTTAATTTTGTCAGGCCATATCATTTCATTCCTTGTATCATTCGATTAACATATAAATTATATTATCAAAATAAACTTTTTTGGGTGTTTTTAGTGTCACTTGATTAATAAGATGAATTTTTAAAAAGGACCTTTTTTGAATCCCCTATTTAACCAACATGAATAAAATCATTTTTAATTATAAAAATATCCTATTGCATAAGAATTAACTTAATTATATAAAGTGATAACACATTGTTAGATTCATATTTAAATAAAATTAATTATTTACTATCGGCCATAAGCTTAACTACTTCTTTCTGGTGGTTATCCCATAACAATTTTGCAATTCTACCAATTGTTGCTTCATTTGGCTTTATTCTGGTCCAATCCAATAAAAGTTGATAAATCACCTACAAGTTTCTTGATTATAAACTAAAAAAAATTAAACTTGTTTCTTACCTCTTTAATGCCACTTTTAATAAAATCTGTATGAAATTGAAAAATCTGACCTTCAGAATATTCTAAAGCTCTAGCTACATTTTCCCATCCTTTACCCATGTGGGCTGATACAAAAATTAAATCCTGTCGATTTAAATGGTTATTACTTTCAAATAAATTTTGAATTTCTTTTGTCATTACTATCGACTCTTTTTTTCCTAAATTAGTATCAGCAGATCCACCATTCACAACAAATGTAGGTCCAACTTGAAATCCATGACAATTTTTGATTGTTAATAAATTAACAGAGCCTAAAAGTTAAAATCATATAACCATAACAATATGCTCCTCTTTACCAACCTTGGTTTCCATGTTTTTTTGACTTTTTTGTTTTCGACTTTGGTTTTTTGGGAATAAAATCATCTTCATTTGGTGCAGTTTCTTCTTTTCCATTTTCATTTTTCTCATTAATATTATTAGAATGGTCTATTCTTGGAGGACTAGGGCAGGCATCAAGTACTAAATCACCACTGTTAGACATACTTCCTTTTGTAAATAAACAATAACTTTATCTGTCAATAAAATATATATTGTAACACTTTATTTTTATTCCATTTTTTTGCTTTCACTTTGTACACACAAAAGATACAGTTTTCCTAGTTTCGTTATCATATATAACCTATGTACTATTACTATAATTAATTAATTATTATCAACATTACTTTTGTATCACTTTATTGGAATATTTTTCCAAATTGAGAGGAAGACAAGATAATAAATTTATGTTAATTATTTTTTTATCACTGTCGACAAATATCTGAATACTTGTCAAAACTCATATCAAAATTTTTCACATCACCTGACATCACCATTGATATTAAATGTTAAAAACATGACAGCAGTTCTAATAGCCAATTTTTAAAATATACTATTCTTTGCTATTTAAAATTAAAATGTAGGTAGAAAGAAAAAGAATAAAAAAATAATTAATTTAAAAAAATATTATAAACATCACTAAAGTTAAATGGTTATTAC